AAAAAAAGAAAAAAAAAAAAAAAAGAAAAAAAAAAGAGTGAGAATTATCGCTCGATTTAGCCGGGTAAGCTCTGTACGTGACCGCGTTAATCGAAATTAATCTCAGTCGGTCAGCGGGGAAAGAGGACGAAAATTGTTGAGTGGGAAGGGAAGGAGAAAAGAGGAGGGATGGAAGTTGCGGAGAAACAACATGCACGCTTGTCAGGGTACAGAACAGACTCGAGCTTTTTCAAGCTTACGACGACGGGATAGGCGCGCACCTCAGGCTCGAGGACAAGCACCGACGTCTCTGCACACTTGTAAACACTCGCCGATAAGAAGAAGGCAGGAGGATATTATAAGGCTCATTAAGAAGGACAAGGGACGAAGGAAGAAAGGGGGGAGGAGGGAAAAAAGAAAAGAGAAGGGAAGAAAAGAAAAAGGAGGAAAAGGAGGAGGAGGAAAAACAAACTTCTTAACTCACGAAAGCGCCGAGTCCAAGGCGTCAGTGTTTACGCGCAAGTGATTCTCTTGGCGCCATTTTATCGAGAGAGGGGTCGTCCTCGAGCCTAATATTATTCGTTTCACAGCGGCTTCTGCACCTTGCTCGCAAGCAGGCCGCGTGTTAATCTTAATCTTAATTACGTAAATAATCAAAATGACGATACATATGTGTTTGTCATATTATCTGCACGATTTTTACTTCCATCGTATACGCGTATATAATAAAGTAAAAAAAAAAAAAAATAAAAAAAAAAAAACATGGACGATATTACTCGTTCAAGGGAGCTTAAATCGACACATTACATTGTTCAGTGTGGAAACAATTTCCATTGACTTGGATCAAACTTGGATTCGACCGAGTAATTCGACAAGAAAAAAAAAAAAAAAAAAAAGAAAAGAAAAAAACCAAAGGGAAAAAATTATCGGTAAAAATAATTCGGTTCGATCAAGTCGATGAAAAGTGCTCGATCGTCGTTCTATCATTATAGAGTTACAATGAATAAAAAAAAAAAAAAAGAAAATAATGCTGTTTCTTCTACAAGATGGCGCGAGAAAATCTCGAACCCCCTCGCCTTAGTCCACGAAAAACACGATGACCGTACCGCAACTGCGACCATCACGAATTGCAATTGTCTCGAATCCTTTTTCCGCCGTCAGGCGAGAGAGAACGAAATTCTTCATGCACCATCTCGTATGCTCTCGTACATATATATATATATGTGTATATGTATGTGTGTGTGTGTTAGGATGATACCTCTAAAAACATCGCGAGCGGCGAGTCACGCACGCACGGCGTGCGCATGCGCGTTCGCGTCCCGCAATTCCTATCCTCCGTTCGTACGGAGTCAAGTCCGTAATTCGAACGGAGTTTGAATGAAAAAAAAAAAAAAAAAATTGGCTCTACCCTCTCACCACAAGCAAAATTGGATATACTACGTCAGCGTTTAGCGAAAAAAAAAAAAATCCTTAGCGTAAGTGTAAAATGAAAAAAAAAAAGAGAGAGAGAGAGATAATAAGTCGCGTCGCTTACTGATAAACGCGTGTTCAGGCACCGTGATTGGCGATCTTATCGTCGTTGTTCAAATGTATATATTGTTATTATTGATTATTCCTTTTTTTTTTTTTTTTTTTTTAGGTAGTAAAATAGTATAGTGTATGTATATATATATATATATATAGGCGGCGAAGCGGGAGGAGAGGAGCTCGCGTTCTCCGACAATAGGCTCCGGTTAACGTGCTCTAATGGTTTTGGAGGGGGGGAACTACGTCACACACGTAGCATCCTATAGTTTTCAATCAATGCCATTCGGCTCAAAAGAGAAATCCCATTTAGCCTCGCGTTCCCATTGTACGAAGTGAGAGAAAGCCTAGCAATCTCCACGGCAATTAGTACCAATAATTAAAGCTCGCGTCCTTTCAACGCGGGGGGGTTCAGCTCGATATCTTCTCGGCTGGTGACATTTTTTTCACCGGTTTCATTGTCGCTCTTTCTTCCCTTTTTCCTCTTTTTCCTTTTTCGCGCGGCTTGTCAGTAACTCGAGTTGTGTCAGTCGTCGAATTACCGATGGAGAACAGAGGGGGCGACGCGTTGTCCTTTCCCGTTATAGAAAATTATACCCGCAGAATCAAGCGACGATTGAAAGAGTCATCGGCTCTATTGTTGAAAACGTGCGCGAGCAACCAGACGATTCGCGTGAATCTGATTCTATTTATTTAGAGGGAAGTGCAAGATTCGATTTCAAGTACTTTTTGATAATAAAATTTGAAAGGGAAAATAACAAAATCGATGGCTTTGTCATCAAAAAAAAAAAAAAAAAAAAAAAAAGAATGGTATATCGTGAAAGAGAGAGAGAGAGAGAGACAAACGGGATAGTCTGCGGCGTGTTTGCCGACGATAGACAAATGTCGAACAGAGGGGAGATCCCCAGAAGTTTAACTGAAACGCAAACGTCCCCATGCTAATCGAGGACTCACACTTTGCCCCGCCTTTATCTTCCTCATTCGCTCGCCCCTCGCCATTTGTCTTGGCGAGCGTATTCAAATTTTCAAGTTTCTCAATTAACCCTCCTCCTCGAATCGATGGAGTCCCGCAGGAACGCGACCCTAACCGATTTAAATTTATCCAACCCTTTCGGTATCGCTCACCCTTTCCTCGACATGGATCTATCTGTCTATTGTTCGGTCGCAGTTTCACTTTGGCTCGCGTGAAATTTCGCGTAAAAATTGCTTAATTTTGCCAAATAAGACTTGTTATTTCAAACAGCAATAATTAAATTCGAACGTTATATCTCTTCGTCCTCTCTGCATTGCGTCGACGACGTTCGCGCGTTGGATCTATGTTTCGAAGTTAAGATCCAGTTATAACTTTCCGGATATACGTTTGAATCTCGAACTATGAAAATTTCGAAGTACGCAATCTCCAAACGTTTCATCCTCGACCGTGATGAACAATTGTCGAATTTTCGTAATTTGGAAATTTTAGATTATTTCATTGTACCAAAAGATTTCGTGTATATTTTTCACCAATCAATATTTTCAAAATGATTCTGAGTTATTTGTAAAATACTTGAGAAACTTTTTCAATTATTCTTAACATCCGATCGACGAGGCGATACTAGCGCCATGCGACTATTAACTACATATCTATCGGTACCCAATGTATTTATGCATTTCCAAAGAACTTTTGAAACAACTTTTGAAAATCGAATAATTTTCCATAAATAATTTTCAAAACGTCGACTTTTCCTTAAACGTACTTCATACTGCAACAACCTTGATAATATTAATCAACAATATATATATATATATATATATTTTTCTATCACACGTTGCTTCAAACCATCGTTGCTCGAGTTCATTCACCCTCCCCCCTCTCTCTCTCATCACGATATTAATAATCCCTGTTTACACGCGTCTACTTCTATCCACGACTTCAAAGACTTTATCCCGTTGATTAGCCACGACTCTAGCAGCAACCAGAGCGAGTCGTCTCAGATTGATAAGCTCACGTGTCGCGATGTAAATTAACCTAACGCCACCACCGAGGGCCGAGGAAATCTGGCTGGAAGGGGGAGGGAGAGGAGAAGGGGATGTTAGGATATACGAACCCTAGGTATCTAACCTTGACGCGATCCCAGCGCCCTTCTCGTTTCCCTTCTTCTCCCCCATCCCTCCGAATTCTCGTCTAAACCCCCTCCTTCCCCCAGCGCGAAGCTTAGCTTAACCCCGAGACGCCGCAAGAGGCAATTAACCTTCCGCCAACCCCTTGACGCCCATTGCAACCCCCGCATCTCCCTTATCCCTCCCACTGTTCCCAGTCGTTCCACTCCACTCCACTCCACCCTCCCTCCCTCCCTCCTGTTGATATCCCCGCTCGGAGCATCTGCATAATCATGCTCGATTCCCAATGCTAATTAGAGTCCGTATCCGACTCTAGCACGTCGACCTCCATCACGCGGTCCGGAACCACGCCTCGTCCCGCTTCCGCTTATTTCCCCCCTTTTATCCCTCCTGTCTCGCACGATCTCGCACGGGGGAGTCGAATGGTTCAGGGAGGGGGGAGGGAGAGGGCGTCGCAAGAAAAATAGAGATTTAAGCGACGAGAGTTTAGTTTATGAGCGAAGGGATAAATTGACGATCGAGGGATAATCGATCGAGAGCCTGGCCTCCTTTTGATCGTGAGATCGGATAAGGGTTCCTTTGTTTTGATTCGGATGACTCTTCGGATTTTGAGTCAATTGATTTGCAACAAGTTTGTTACGAATATAATCGTAATGGTGGTCTTCTTTTGGTTGTAAAAATCGATTTTGAGTCAATTGGTTTGCAACAAGTTTGTTGCGAAATAGAAATATAATCGGGGTGATGGTGGTGTTCTTCTGGTGGTAAAAATCGCGAGCTTTGATCTTGATATGCGTTTCAGTCCCGCGCGTTAGATTCGATTAATTGATGTAGGTTCAGTAGAAGAAGTAGGGAAATTGCAAGAAAGGTGTTGGCGAACGATGCATCATCCGATGTTTCGCCCGAATCCGGGGAGAAGAAATAACCGCGAAAGGGTTGGCTTTTTTCTCTTTTCTCAGCGTTCGTTAATTGAAATTGCAGGTGTTATCGAAAGATTTCCCCCTTCTTTTTTCAACAAATATCCCGACGAGCCATCGAATCAATTAAACCAATTCATTAACCAGGAGCCATTCGCCTCCTCGCGCTGGTGGAGGATCGTTTACCCCCCCCTCCTATAAACGAAGAGAAAAAGATGCACGCGGATGATTCTTACAAAAAAGACGAAGGGAGAAGATTAATATCTTTATAATAATGTCGTGCGAAAAAATCCCTCAATTCTTTCCTCGATCGATTGAATTCCTCCGAGGCCACTCAACTTCCTATACTTTTACATGTATAACTCGAAAATAACTTCGAATACAAGGAATCTCAAGAAGAATCTCAAGAGAATATTTCGAGGAAAATGAAGATGTTTAAGGCTCTCGAGATCCTTAGGAGGGAAGGGGGAACGGGTACGGTGCTCAAAAACGGCGCGCTGAGTAACCTGTGTCGTACAACTTACAGAGGCTGTCGGTGCGTCCGGGGACGGAATGCATCCCCGGTACGGAGACCGAGACCGAGAGCGCCTCTTGGTGCTTGAGCATCTGCCGGCGTCTCTGCCAGGTGAACGTCCACGCGGCTATGATGGCGATCTGGGCTACGAGGAACACGGTCCCAGCGACGATCGCCTCGCCCAGGTTGATGCACATGCCCATGGTCGACGATATGTCCTCGCTCTCGACGAACACCGTGTCCCTGCTGGCCGAGCTGGCGTTCGACGCCTTGCTGTCGTGCTCGAATCCGAACTTGTCCGTGATCTGGATCGATTGCACGAGCAGCAGGTCCTCGCGGGTCTGGGAGCCGGTCGAGCGACGGCGACGACGCTTCCCGTACGAAATCACGGAGCGCAGCTCGCCGGTCGCCTCCTCTTGATCGCACTGAACCGGCTCGCAGGTGGGCATGCAAGGTGTGACCAGGGCCCGGAACTGTACCACCTCCGAGCTGGGGAATTTGAAGGCGTCGAAGTGCGAAAGGAGAATCTGAAACAGTGATGAATTGAATTTTATATATTCTATTTTCTTGTTGGATAGGTCATCTTTCGAATTCGATTAATTTGAATTTGGCGATGTAGAATTTCACGATACCGTTGAAATATACGAGTGGTGAGAGTTTAAGAAAGGGAAAATAAAACTTCGCGCCTGTCAAAATGGATCGAGAAATATGTAGGCGCGCGACCGTTGAAGATTTTATGAATCGTGGAAACAATCAAAGGAGGGGGGGCAAAAATTCTCTACTTCCGGAAGATTTGCAAGTCACACAGAGGAATTTCTGTGCCGTTATTCATCATTAAGATAATACGTGAACAGATGTGTCGAATAACTTGTTCGGTGGCAACAAAGATTTTGATTTATTATTCGTAGAATTGGCTGCTATTAGATCATCAGTTTTATTTATTTACTTCTCCGTTTAATAAATCTCGTCTCGTCATTTCTATGGCTTTCAATTAAATACAAAAGATACTATAATTGTGTTTTTTAAAAAGACACAATTTTCGTCTTTTTACTAATGATGAAATAAATATTCTAGAATAACGAAAAGAAATCTAAATGATAATAATTCTTATTCTCAAGAACAACGGATATTCCAATAAATTTGTTTAAAAGGAAACAACCTTCGAGACATCTGTCCTCGCAAAAGGATAAAATTTCCTTCTCGATCGATATTCAATCAAGTATCCTCGAATGAAACGTAAATTTATCCTCGATGCGTCTCTGGACAAAGTGTCCCGTAAATTACGTGGCATTCTATGAAATTGCCTTCGATCGCGTGTTGATAAAAAAAGCCGCAGAACGTTACACAGAACGCAAGTAGTATCGCATAACACGTGGAACGTTTGCTCGTCGCATGCAATATGCGTAATAGAAGATCGCTTGAAACTGGTTCTCGCGTCTTACAACAGCTGCACTCTAATTTTTTTTTTCTTGCCTCTTTTCTCTCCCTTTTTTTTCCTTTTATTCTTTATTAAGTAAACTCGTATAACAGCAATTACACGGAATTACGGCATGAGAAACAGCCATTGGTAAACGCTGTTTTGTCGTTCCCATAGCGAGGTATTTCGATAAATAACACACTTCTATTCCCCGTTTTCGTTTTTCCTTCTCTCCTTTAACCATTGCCTCTCCCTCTCTCTCTCTCTCTCCATACCCTCGTGTCGAACAACTTCGATAATACGAGCCTGTCCATTATAATTATTTACATTTTCCTTCCCTACTTTGATTAAAGGATTCTCCAACAATAAATTATACAGGATGGTTCCCTCGTGTAACAGTTTCCCGATATTTTTCGATACCTCGTGATCTTCGTCATACGCAATTTAATTACTAATTATATTTCCCAAACCACTTCGAAGCGAAAATTCCATATTATTTTTACATTCTATTATCACAATATCTAGAACAGATAAAAGATTAACATAAGAATTCAAAAAAAAAAAAACGTAAACAAAGAAGAAGAAGAAAGAGAATCTCGAAAGATCCTAAACTCGTTATACCAGACACACCAAGTTTTACAACTCTCTCCTTATTGCCTCTCGCCTCTCCAAGGAATTATCATCAATTACACACTCCCTCCCCCTCGAAATGCAAAAATATTCCAATTACAAGGGATTAACCTATGGCACGGAGGGGAATTAATTCCCGTCGAAATGGCCACCGACCTCCAATGGACACCTCCGATCTCCTCTGCCTCCACCCAGAGGATCTCCTCTGCCTCCCCAACGTTCGAGGCGGCACGCGCGTGTGCTCCACCATAGGAACTGGTTTTCCAATGTGGTTGGCGCGTTACCCAAGTTCATCCTCGTATTTGCACACCGGGCACGTACATTATCGGGGTGGTGGTGATGGTGGAGGGGCCGGGGGAGGGAAGTAAGACATTAAAATATGCTTCATCCCGCGTACAGCTTCATTTAAAAGCGTTCTTTCTTTGGCGTCCCGCGCGGAACGAGCGGAACTTTATTAACTCCGTGTCAGGGGAGAGGGAGCGAAGGTCAGTAAAACGCGCGGGGGAAAGAAACGCGCGCCTTGTATCCGCCGTGGCATCTGCTCCTCCGCTCTTTCTCTGCTTAACGTACCTTAACCGGGATAGGTGTGTATATATATATACGTATGCGATGTGTTCTTCGAGACTGAGCGAGTCTGGAGAGCGATGATGGAACTCGCGTAAAACGTGGACGGACTGAATAGTCGTGAACTGAATCGGTCCTGGCTTCCGGCTTGATCTCTGGAAGGGTAACTGGAGGGTAACGGAGAATGGTAAAAATGGATGGCCACAAATGGTATCGCTTTTATCTTGGGAAAATTTAATTTGGAAAATGGTGGATTTGGGGGGGGGGTCGAATTGTATCCTCCTATTTTATAATTTTTTTTTTTTTTTTATATCAAATGCTTCAGAAGTATCGATTGAAATTTTTGAAATGTTGAAAGTTTGTTGAATTGCGAAGAGTCAAGTTTCAACTCGAAGAGATATTGATCGTGTAATTGGAACGGCATTTCCTGTTTCTAATCCTTAATTTTGAGGGAAGAAGGATCGAATGGATGGGACGTCGTAAAATTCGAAAAATTTTGCTACCGATTCGTAAACGGACGGGTCAAAGTATAGCTCGTATGTCAGGGAATACCTTGTATATTGTACGGTTATACCGGTGTCTACACAGAGGAGCGAATGTGGCGGCTGAGAAATGCTTCCAATTTCATTCAAACCGGTTGTGAAATGGAGGAGCTCTCGTACCGTGGCTTGGCTACGTGACAGACATACCGGAAAACCCGACTTTTGCCAAATTCCTGGTTAGACGAGGGCGAATCCTTTTGCCAGCCCTTTCGAGTGGCCCAACCGAGTGTCCTTTGCATCCTCGTTTTTCTCCCCTAGCCAAGGTTAATAAAATTACACCACGAAGGCGAAATATCGGTAACGATATACCTTTGATTTTGTCATTAATTATATGTGAAGAGTATTTCTAAGTTTTTCTAATTTTATTTATTTTATTAAGTGGAAAATAAGAATATTGTATAAACTTGATATTTTATAAATTTTACTTATTTTTTTCAAAATTAATTTTCTACGAATAACTTTGAGACTCTTGTGTAAAGAGCTTCGTTTATTGTTATCGTTTTTTATCTTCTATTACTCGAAATGATCGAAATTATTTGAAAATAATTTGTTCCAAACGAATAATAAAGATTTCCATGGAGAAATGCTCGAACGAAAACTTTGTACAATATATTTTTCCCTTATTTTTCACCCTTGCTCGCAATTTATCTAGAAAAATTGAGAATATATCTGTGAAAATGTAAAATTAAATTATTTTCGTGACAAGGAAAAAGCTAATTTTCTTTAACTTTAATGGGAATATAAAGAAATCTTAAAATTTTATTTTTCTCTTCAACGTTTTATAATTAGCCACGTTTCACAGAGCATACGCGAAGAAAAAAGGAAGATCAACCGAAAGAGGGATTATTTTCGTAAGAAGGACACGTCCCTTTCGTCTCCTCCCTCCCGTTTTTGTCTCAATTCAACATGTTTATTTAAAGGAGAAGAGTATTCTCCTCCACTCCGAGAAATTCACCGGCGGCCATTTCCAGATCCGCCCGGAAAGAAGAATTCTCTTGTGTTAATTTTTGCTATCCCTCTACCCTCTCCCCCATTGAATTATTATTTCTCACCAAATAATCCATCCGTTTGTTCCACTTTTAACGCTTCCATAATGAATTCCTTGCACACGCGTTAATCTCGACGACTCTCACCCGATCCTCGAGCACCCGATTCCATCTCTTTCTTTTTAGTTTTAATCAACCATTCTATGCGTTAATAATCCACCATTTCCTTCGTTCAATTCCCCGTGCTCGAGTTAAAAACAACGGAAATTATTAACGAGTAACGTTACCAGCGAAGAAGAGAGAGAGAGAGAGAGAGAAAGAAAAAATCGGACTCATTTGTAGCTTGGGAAAACCCAGTTCCATAGTTATACACGATAAATATACGTTTCTTTGTTCCGCGCAATGAGAATCAGCCGCAACGGTCCCCCAGGAACGAGCTACATCCGCCATTTTATAAAAAGGATCTCTTAAAATGCTTCGAACAATGCAAAGATTATTCTTAAAAAGGAAACGTGACGGAATCATCGATAGGGATGATTACGTGTGTTAAGCTTAGTCTCTTTTATTATTTCTCAATTCTTGGAAACAAGATGTTCGAACACTTTGATATCGAACGAGTGAAGATAAAATTTAGATTTTCTTATTTTCTTCGTTCTCTGTGAATCATAAATAAAATCTCAAACGGATTAATGTATTTAATTTGTCCACCTTTGACAAGGCTTTGGCCCGTCCTTTTTGTACCATGAATAAATTATTACATCTACAATTCAATCTACGTATCAATCTTATATATAATATGCATACAACTTCGTTCTCACAATTATTAGCTTGATTATTTAAGAAGAAATGGAATGATAAAATACGTGCACTTTCGGGATCTAGTAATCTTCTAATTCGATCTATCTATATTCCGCGTGTCATGTGTACACATCTCTCGGTTATATCGCAATAATTAAAACGTCATGCTCCTCATGTTTCTTTAACATTTCAAAACGTTACACGCGTGAAAGGTACACCGATTAAGGGTGTCCAACGCGTTACGAAGGCGGCGCTTCTTCTTATATCCAGATTCTTGTTCCACGAATTGTAATTTCCTGTGTACGAGGGGGCACGTACGAGCGGCCATTCGTAGATCCAGGCCTCGTTACTTGGACAAGTCTCGAGAGGAAATGAGGTTAGCTCGCGTGATCCGTAGAATCGGCTGGACGAGATCGTGGTACGAATGGAACGGGTTCTCTCTCCCGTCTCCTAGGCCGGGTGTCAGGGTGTACACGACTCGGTGATATATCTCGATGCGCAGCATCTTTCCTGGATTAACGGATATAAATTTTCTCTTTCTTTCGACCGGGAGGGACTGTTATTACTTTCTAATAAAGCGATATTGCTCCGTGCCGCGCCCCCACCCGCGCGGGCAAATGATGTGGAACGGCGAGTTAACGAGGCGGTATGCCCCTTGTTGTCCCTTCCCTCCTCCCCACCCGGCGCATTCTTCTTTCTATACCTGCCACTATGTCGTAACGATCCGTTTGTTTTACCCCCTTGGACAGGCCAACCATCAATCGCACGTAATACGCAGTATCAATCGATCCCGATGGACGCGATGGACGCGTTTCTTAGAAATCGGTTGGGTCAAGGTTCAAACGGACAATAGCCTTCCTGAGGGAAACGGAGGTCGTTTAATGAAAAATTTCGATTGCAAAGCACTGCCGACTATGGGATACTGTTACACGATCGGTTTAATTTCCATTAATCGCGTTCGACGGGATGGGCTTGCTCTTGGAAATCGAGTCAGGTGGACGCTTAGGCGGGCAATGGTGTTTCTAAAGGAAGTACAGGTCGTTTCGTGGAAAAATTATGGATTGCATGATGTTGTTGATCGTGGAATACTGTTATATCATCGATTTGTTTCGATCTTATTTCCAATCAATCGCGCGTAACATGCAAATTAAGATAAATTAGTGTAATGTTCTTGTAATCTTTAAGGTCGAGATTTCAGACGGATATAATAATTTCTTGTAAAGGGAAGCAGAAGTCGTTTCTTGTTAAGAAATCTCGATTGCATAACGTCGTTAGAGTACCGTTATATTATCGGTTTGTTTTACTCTCCTCGGACAGACGGATCATCGGTACACGAACGCGGGACGATTCGATTAGAAATCGGTTGGGTCAAGGTTTAAATGGACAATAGCTTCCCCAAGGGAGGCAGGGGTCGCTCGGTGAAAAATTTCGATTGCATAACGTTGTTAACTATGGAATACTGTTATATTATCGGTAACGATCTTTAGATTCCAGCCAGTTGATGAGGAACTCGAGCCGATTGGGAAAAAATGGCCAAAGGTTCAAGAGCTTATCGCGCGGATGGATCTTGTACACGAGAAGTTCACTTAAGGAGCATAATTATATCTAGTGGCTAGAAAACTCGAAATCATTCGTGACCATGACAGCTACCTCTTAAATCATACGACGTGTGAAGTTTCCTTATCTCGGGCGACGATCATCTCGTGCCGATAAAATTTGCAAGAATTAATGATGTTCCAGCCCTCCCCTCCCTTCTCTCTTTCTCTCTCTCTCTCTCTCTCTACGTGCTAATACAGTGTTGGAGCTAATTTTGTGCTTCCTTATGCGGCATACGCGGAAGGAACGATCATTATTGGAGTGGAATAATCTTTCACGTCGTTAGGATAGTCGTATGTCATTATTCGTCGATGTGGCTTGGCGATTGAAATTGGCCTAGTGCTTTATTTTTTAACTTGTCTCGAGCTCAATAAAAAAGAAAAAAGAAAAAGAAAAAGTTAACGAGCCGAGATTTACCGTGGTTAAAATCAGTGGCTTCTTATTGCTGGGATAATCTCCAAGTATTTTAATTGATTTTCAATTACACCGAAAGCATCGGCTGAAAGCAAACAAAGTGAAAATAAGGGTTCGAGAATTTAACGAAAAGTGAGGTTAGGATTTCGATACTTTGAAAATTTTTATTTTTTAAACGAATAAAAATTTGATACTTGCGATACAGTAAATTTTTTCCCCCAGAGACAAAAGAGATTCTAGAATTTAATGAAACGTGAGTACGATCGAAATAAGTAGAAACTATACACATTACGTGAAATTATTACGTTATATTAAGTCTCTTCCAGATATTGATACCCGATAAACGAAAAAAGTTTCAATCTAGCTTTAATAGATTTATCGTACAGATAAGTACCATCCTGCCTCATTCTCAATTTATCTAAAGTGTCTAATATTTCTAACCGTTTAAAATGATTTCATATAATCCTTACAATTTATCCAATGTGGTTAAAGCTTTCCGACCTATTCTATCTGGAATAATCCAATCCACTGTCGAACAAATTGTATCCTTCCTTCGTCAACGCGATCTTGGGAGCTAATTTTACGCTTCCTGATGGGAAAGGAATGATCATTACCGCGAGAAATATCTCTCGCATCGTGTTGGGACAGTCATGCGCCATCATCATTCTTCATGATTAAAGGCGTATCAATCCTTTTGACGTTTTATTTTCAACAAGCTTCCACCTTCGTCCATGGTAAAATCATAACAAGGAGCCGATGACTGTAATTGAAATTTCGCAATTTGCCGCGAGATTCATTACATCCTTTACCTTATTCTCAGCGAAATCACACGAAGAAATTCCACGCGTAATTGATCGCTATAATTAATAATCTCGCCTCTCGTTCTTGATGCGTTCGTAAGTCCATTCCGCCGCTCGACTTTCTAATTCCATTAAACCGAATTTTAAACGACACCGTGTGTTTCGATGATTAATGCATCTCTTTGAACAGATACGGCTGCGGTGGGAAGGGGGAGGGGGACAATTGACGGGAACGATAAATAACGTTTAACGAAGCGTTAATATTTATGGTGGATAAGTCTCGAATATATATTTTCCAGAACCTTTGAAGTGGATAAATGGGGGGATACCTCTCCGCCTCGATGTTGCTCAATTGTTTATCATATATTAATTTATTTATTTTGTTATTTGTCGCACACGCGTCAAACCACACGTGCGTGTACCTTTGCGCGTGGAATTACGTTTCATTCACTTGATGACTCAGCTGTGTTTCGACACTTCGACACGAGTCGTTGGGATCGTTGATCCATCGATCTGTCCATCTTTGATTGTGGGTGGCCGCTTCGATCATTGATCAACGTCTCGACGTGTGTTTACCGATGAAAGCATATCGACTTTACTGTTTTTCCTTACACGAAATATAAATACAAAAGAGGCGAATTAAATCAATTTTTTTATCACTATTGATAAAAAAGAAATGGAAATTTCTTCGATAGAATTTTTTCCTTGCGTATAGTGTTTAGGTAGGAATTTAATGGAAGCATTATATTCTCGAATATACGAGTTATATAATATAACGAAGGAAGAAAGAAAGAAACGTTTCAATCTAAGATTTTCGCCGTTATCGTTGATTTTCATAGTTCTCTTACTCCTCTCTTTGCGAACAGATGATCAAAATGGAAATATCTCTGGGGCACATGGTAAGTGATATTGCATTAAGGGGTAAGTGAAATACATCGGTCCAGGTTACCCTCCTGGGAGAGTGTTTTATTTACTCTGCCTTCCTCTTCCCTTTGTCCTCTTTTCCTCACGAGTAATCAAATGCTTCTTTAAATTACATTATACTGCTAGTATCACAATATCGATTATCGCCTTTGCTCTTTGATCAAATTTATAGAAACTACAATGACTTTAATTCTTTCCTTCTTTCTTTTTATATTATCTCTCTGATTCGAAAGAATATATAAAGAATATAAATATGTTCAATTATCCACTTGACGAGATTTCTAGCTGAATTCACAACTCCATCCGGAATAATATTCCTATATATATATATATTACTATTTGCCGGTGACGAAGAGTTGTTTACCTTCCAAATTTTCAAGCGACAGCCGGCATTTACACGGTGAAAATAATAACGAGCCCCCGAAGCTGCTATCAACGCATCAACGAAGCGGCCAAGACAACGTTTGCGACCAGTTATGGCTCGAGCAAATTGCTTCCCGTCGTAAAATCCGACCGAGTGATTGATTAGCACACGGTTGGACCGACTTGTTGACTCGCAGTTTCTTCCAGCTCCGCTACTCCATATCCCACAGACAGAGAGAGAGAGAGAGAGAGAGAGAGAGAACCCAAACGTTTCCCATAACGGTCGCCTATATCGACATTATCTCGATCGAGCATCTCTATTAGCTCTATCAGTCCGTCAAATTAGAATCNTTTTTTTTTTTTTTTTTTTTTGTATCATCGACTCGAAGAAACTCGAAGAAAATTATTACTAGAATCGACCAGTATGTAATAATAATTCTTACGTCTAGGAATCCCACTCTCGCGTGTTTTTTAATCACTTTCTTTCACAAAAATGACGAGTTGATACGTTCCCTCTGTTTGGGAAAAAGAGGGAGAAAGTAATCTCTCTATCGAGAAGTTGGGGTGGTAGTTATTAGATGGTGTTATCGCCGACGATAAATGATAAGCATTAGCCTGGAGCTTACCTTGCCCGTGGTGGCCGACTTGTAGAGGGGGCCCATGATGACGTGATCGGTGGGGCAGCCATCCGAGTCAATTAAGACTATCTCGCTGGAGTCGACGCCGTCCATGGCGACCAGCTCGCGTACGAAGATCTCGTACGGGCTGTTCGGGTCGAGTATCTCGAACTTGAGGGCCAACGGATCGCCGACTTCGGCGGACGGGATTGCCTCGTTTCCACTACGATCGGTGATCTTCATGGCGACGTTGGGCGAGTCGACGATCACTTCCTCGGACAGAGCGGGTGTTATTTCGCCGTGCACACCGAGATCGACCTCGTTCGACACGGTTTTGTTGGTGAGATCGTATTGACAGGTGACGGCCAGGCCGAGATCGGAGCTGGTGACAATGGTGTCGTGGTGTTGGATCACGACGTCGTTCAGGTAACGGCCCAACCCCTGCTGCCTTATGTTGCACTCCAAATCGTCGTACGCCATTTTCAGCTCGAACTCCAACGCCCCCTTCACGTCCTGCACGCAAGAATTCGGCGACCCCTTCACGTACACCTTTCCGTAGAACAATTTGCTCGTTTGGATCCTCGTCACCATGTCACCGGCCCGGCAATCTATGGTCACGTTGTAGCAAGAGCTCAACTCGTACGTCGATCCCTCCGGCACGTCAAGATAAGGCTCCTGGAAACGAGAGATGCGTAATTATTGTTCTCTCTTCGAATCTTCGTTCCGAATTATTCGTGATTCGACTCGATGTTATTAATCTATTGTTGATTTGGCCAAATTTTTTTTGCACATGTATGTAAGTATGGAGGATGGTCATTTTTAATTTGTCTGTATTTTTCTCGTTCGGATTCGGACACAAAAATTGAATTGATTAAATTACTCTCGCAACGTTATAAATATTATTCTATTAAATGAATCTCATGTCGATGTTGTATCATATACGTTGCGCATAATTTCGCGATTATTGCCTCGGCCTATTAGGCAAAATGATTGATATACTGGATTATAAACAGGGTATTTATGTGTATATAAATACATGTTGGTAAAAAAAAATTTTTCTTACATTACGTTACGAAATATGGATTGTAATTTACATATCGTAAACAAACTGTCATTCGATACTATTAGGTACGTACGTGTATCGATCGGTTATGCTAATTCGATAATTCTTCTCGATAATACGATAATCTGGGTCGCCTGAGTAATAACAATTTGCATATTTCTATTAAAATAGCTAACCAGTGTTATAATTATCCGCTATTTATAGAACTTAAATTGTCACAAATGTGTCCTTATTTATCGTAACAATCTCGAATAAATTGCCAAATGCATCAAATCGATGGAACTCGTTCATTCACGAAAATCACGGTATCATATTATCCGTTTACAATTATTGTAACGTGTTATTTAAATTATATTTATTTAATAATAATAACATAGAAAACGAGTTTGAAACGTTATCCTTTTTTCTTTAACGACAAAGATTCGAGAAAGTTATTATTCTAAGTGAGAAAATAAAATAAAAATATAGAATTAAATTAAATTTCAAAAATTCATAGGATATTTGTCGTGGAACATTTAAACTCGAACAATGGATCCCGACGAAGAAATTTTATTCTTTCTTATTTACTTCAGCGCGTGCACAACAATCGTCCAATTCGTATCCAAATTCAAAAGATGATCGATCTCTAGTAAAAAAAAAAAAAAAAATATTCCAATAATTTAAATATCTTTCATTTAAATTTATACGAGAAGTGTTTCAACTTGTTCTACAATTTTCCATACCATCACCGTTGAAATAAATAAAAAAAGCCACTTTCGTTTCTTCTTTCCAAGAAACTCGTATATATTTCCTATATATCGAATCACTGTGAGATAAAGATCCGATAAAAAAAAAAAAAAAAAATCCGTACGATNAAAAAAAAAAAAAAAAAAAAGAAGCAGTGATTCAATTCGAACGGTAGTGGAAATAGAGTGAGCCGACTTCTTCAACAGGTTGGCGAGAAGAAAAGTCTTTGTCTTGAGTTTCTCAGGGCGGCGTACCGTATGCACGTAAGCTGAAGAGCCCCAGTCACAGGGTAAGCATCTGCGATGGAAACTCGATTTTCCACGGAACGCGTTCTCACAGAGAATTGTTCGACCCGGTTTGCACGTGTGCAATGTAATCACGTTTACAGAAAATCCCTGCCGGCCCTTTCACGAGGAGGTACGTGGAAATGTGCGGTCCACGATTTCCAACCGAATTCTCTATCCCCCACGAAATTGACGTCGAATTGTTTTACCATCCCCGCGTCCGCCAAATAAATTAAAGTAAGTTGACGCAACGAAATTTCGCATGACGGGGAGGGGAGGAGGGGGGAGACAACGGTTGAACGACAATTTTATTAAACGTGTACGTCGTACGACCACCCATCGAACGAAAAGAACGAAAATTTTAGGGTTGGTTTTTGGAGGGTTGTTGAAAATACCAAGTAGATATATCTCGATGTATATCTGCCATTTTGTAAACGAATAATAATATAGGAAATATTGGATTATAAATTTGGACAAAGAAAACTTTTTGTTTTTGGGAAAAATTAAATTTAAAATGGAAAACGATGGCTCGTAGGAGGGAATTAATGGGGGATTGTTGTTATTCCTCGTCGATTGGAAAATGCACGAGTGAAACTGTTTTATGGTTGGGAATATAGAATATTTTTTTCGTTCGAATATTAAATTTTTATTTCAAGTTTTTTTGCGAATGAAACTAATCGTTTATTGTGAGAAGATTTGTCTCTTTTCTTTTTCGTAGTACATTGGACGTTATTTTTGTATGTGTATCAGGTCGCGTAGAATCGACACTAATGGTAGATAGAGGATACAGATGGAATAAATTCACGTGTATTCCATCTGACCTATTTTTTTGAATTATAACCCGTTAATGCACGCTGCTAATGCGCAGGTGATCATTTATGCAAAAAGTCAACGACTATCTCCGACCTGAATGCGATCAGCTTACGATCATCAAAGGATTTCTCAATTTTTCAAACGTTTTTCAAACTATTCATTGAGCATGATACACGGAAAATTGAGATAGAATCGAGGTAGCTCTGTTATTAAGTTTAAAAAAACAATCTATAACTGCATGAAATTATGATATTTGCATCAATTTCTCTAATCTCCTCTCATTCATCATCAACGATCACAAATCATTGTCGGTCATTATTTTCGCGTAGATCAAAAAACAAGATCCAACGAAGAGTACGATAAATTTCTAATAAATAATAAATAAATTCTAATAAATAAATTTCTATTTCACTTTTTACGAAAAGAAAAAAAGGGGAAAACTCGATTAATATCGTCACACGAATAATTTTAACAAAGTCAAAAGGATCTCTTATACGATCCCTCACCTGGATATCCGAAAGGGTGGCTCTGGAGTGATGGCTGAGACGGCATACCATGTCACCTGTGTCGCCATAATCGTAGGAATGGCAACGGAACGGGGAATTCAAGCAAAGCTCCCGGCACTCCTCGGTGCTGCCAACATCTTGGTAAACGGAATCCACGGTTTTCAAAATACGGCCGGACAGTTTCTTGAATTCGCAGAGTTTCACCGGTTCGTCCACGCAGTGGTTCTCAAGGTAATCGAATCCCTTGGAGGATTGGAAAGCGTTCGATCCGGCGACGGTCAGCCGGTCCATGTCCGATAATTCGCATTGTTTCGTTGCATTTGCGTAATTGGCAGATCTGAAGCAAAAATGGTTAAGGATTTTTTTGTTAATAATAATAAATATTGCGATGATATTACAGTAATAAAACGAACAAGTTGATGGATATGTAATAATATCGACGATTAATAAATTATTTAAAATTTGATTTATTTGATTGGCATATTATTTGTGATACGTCGAAGAGGGAAATTTTATAATGTATAATTTAAAATTGGATAATTAATTGGAAATTTGCAACGTGTTATAATGTCAGTTTAAAATGTTTTTTTTTTGTAATATCAAGTCGAATATTTATACATACACTGAAATGAATATTTAAACGATATTGAACGTATTAAGCAGCACATGTGTGAAAATTTTTTGACAATAAACATTATTCCAATTTAAATGATTGAAAAGTAGTCTCGTTACACGTGAAACGTTTTAAATATTGATTATAATACGCATAAGTTGCACAATGCGTTATGTATTATAGAAATAACTACGTGGGAAAAAAATATTGAATAATTTTTACTTCTCTTTGCATAAATGCATAAGTTGAAAAATTCGTTATCTCAATTACTATTATACGCGCGAATTCTATCAATAACTTAATGGAAGTTTTAAATTTTAAAATTCACATTAAAAGATTTCCATGTTCCATCATCGAATGAATTACGACTCATAGTAAATAACCCTTGAAACACCCTTGAAAATACACCAAAAATTGTACAAGTTTATCGTGTATGAGCTCTAAACGCGAATCTGATCCTCTTCTCGAGCACGATATCAAAGCAAAAGTTTGTGAAACGAACTTATTATTAGAAGAAGAAAGTATTGACACATCACGAAAATCGATATGTTTATTTCGACTCTCGCTATACTCGACAAACTTGGAAGAAAAACTTGGATCTTTGGGGGATCGATCAACTGCTCCATAAGCGTTCTCCATTTCTCGATTTTACGCTCTCTCGTCCAATCGTTCTCTCCCTTTTCATTTTTTTCCTCGATAAACGCGACAACACCGCGACCAATCGTACGCAATCTAATCGTTGTTGTTGATATTTCCTTACGACGATAAACGTTCATCTACAAAAAAGAACAAGATGAAAATTGTTCCGCGCCTCTTCAATGGCGTGAGACGGAAACATTTGACGTCTCGGAAAGGTTCACGCTCGAACTCCCTTTACAACCGTGTCACGGTTTAAAATAAATATACGAGGGTATATTGCCTCGGTTTCGCTTCTATTTTTTTTTTTCTAAAGGTTGGTCGAAGCAATTATTACGCGCTACCGGGATTATTGCGCCATAATAGTTCCATAGCAGCCATAGTTGAACCGCGAAAACACTAATTTACAGAGCGTTTACAGAGGACAGTTTCCCGTCCCTTTCCTTCGTTTTTTGCCCGTGTTCGTTAATGCCCGCATGGGATGAACGTGATACCGGACGACTTGGACCGGAAATAGGGACGTTACATTTCTGATTGCTTATCCTTGTTCCCCTTTTTCCCCCTTCTAGGCTTAAATACGGCAGGAATTACGCGTTGCAAGTACTTATTTGGAATGATAGAAATGGGCAATTGGAATTGGAGTCCGGGTAATGAATTGTGATATAATATTTTTTTGCTCTTAAATTTATTGCTTCGTGGTTAATTCACTCTATAAATTTGGATTTCAATTTTTTTTTCTTTTTCAAGAATAATATGGAAGGAATTCATTTAAATACGTTGAGCAATGAAGAAGGTACTTAATGAAGCAGGTACAGTTTTATTTTACTCAAATTTATTATCTGTTGGTTTTGATTAGTATGTGCTATCTTGTTATTAGAATGAAAGGAAATAAACAAACGTTTACCATGGTTACACGTCAAAACATGTTTAATTATTGATCGTATCTTGATATAAGCAAATATTGATTTCATTTGCCAATTTCGCAATTTCTCGTGTCGATGCGTAATTTCCTAATTCTTTCATTACGTATTATAGTGATTAATCGTCGAAAAATATTGATAATTTTGAATTTTCGTCAATTAATAAGAATTTACCTGTGATCACACATTTTAAACGGATGAAATTTCCATAAAACATCGGATTTAAATGTTAAATTAAATTTTTGACCGTTTAAAATTTTTCTTCCCCACCTTTTTTCCTTATTTTTATTCCATTTCATCCCGATCTGTCAGACCGGTTAATTAATCTTTTACGTTCGTTCATATTATTTTAATTTTTTCCCATTTCTATACCCGTATCTCCCCATTATCAGCGACCACTTTAAATAAAATTTCTATCCATCCATCGAAACGAAAGCTTCGATCCAGTGAAAAACTGGAATATCGAATCTGACCAAACTTGATGGCTCTCTCTCTCTCTCTCTCTTTCTCTCTCTCTGCCACCCACCCGTTTGAGCATCAAGCTCAAAGCGATGGGGGGTGCCAAATTTATTCTGCACCGCTCGATCGATTTTGGATTATATTGCCTTAAGACCTGAATGATATTCATGGCCGGCGCGTTATGATTTCAATATTCTCAGGGTTCTCAGGGTCCGTGGGAATTCGAGTCGAAAAATCACCGCGCCCTTATGCGGTTCGTCGCGATTGAATCGAACGTATAATCGAATCGTCTGCGGCTCCCGCGATTATCGAAATGCCCCCATTCCCATCGAATATTTCCCAACGAAGAAGACAAGTGTATTATCGGGTCGATAATCGATATTCCGCGATGAATCGTCCCTCCTCGAGAATCATATATTATTTGTTTTCACTTAAAAAAAAATAATAATAATTTTTTTTACGATAATAATAAACTTATCGTTGGTTCCCATCGAATATTTCCCAACGAAGAAGACAAGTGTATTATCGGGTCGATAATCGATATTCCGCGATGAATCGTCCCTCCTCGAGAATCATATATTATTTGTTTTCACTTAAAAAAAAAAAAAATAATAATTTTTTTACGATAATAATAAACTTATCGTTGGTTCTTGGATTCTTACCAAGAACGCGGTCGATAATTGTAAAAAAGTTAAATTACGGGATTCAAATCGCGTGTGATTCCGTGCATATCGAAATTCGATATCATACACCATGTCGAGCAATAATTTTGCAAGATAGAATAAGAAAGAATAATTTCTTTGTCTGCAACAAGTCTACGATAAAGTTTGGAAACGTGTGGGAGGGAACTCGTCTGGGCCGTTTTTATCGATCGGGCGACAATATCGAGGTGATCAAATTCGAACGATGATATCGTTTGATGAAACAGCACAAACAGAAATGAAGGGTTCCGTAATCGAACGTATCTAGTTGACTATTCGTTCGTTAAATCAACAAGTTTCAACAGAATTGTTCGCTATCCGAATAATTGGCCCGCGATGCGCGGCCCTCCTCCTCTCCTCCCCCTCCCTTTCCAATCCCCCCCTCCCTGCGTTTATTATTCATTTCACGAATGGGGTGCGCGCGCGCGCCGATCGAGCTTTTATCGCGAATTTAACTTTTATCCGATTCGCTGATCCGACCTCTGATTGGGAACGCGGCAAGATTTACGCGCGGATACGCAATCGGCCTCTGTCGTAATCGATCTCTAATAGAAACGTCGAACGATATTTTCCTCCGCGCAAATTGCCCTCCTCATTCTCTATTTTCGTGTAAATTAATTTTTCATGATTTTATTATTCCTTTTTTTTTCACTTTATCTCTGTGTTTATTCACTTGTATTATTGAATTTATAATATTTTTAAATAGTTAGGATATTTGTTTGTTTATGGGGTGGGATGGGGTAGAAGTTTAGAATTGATTATTTTTAAATTATGATTTTGGTGAGGTTTTTTTTTAAAAAAAAATGTATAAATATATAGGTAGATGGAAACAATGATTCTAGGTAGAATTAAATTATAGCTTCGAGTTTTGTAGGATATTATTATAGGGAGAATTTAATAACAATAGATGTTATAGATTATCCATAATATTTGGATTCTTTAGATTGCTCTCCGCCGAAATTCCGTCAGGCATATACGAATCGGAAAAAAAATATTTCGATACGAAATATCTCGAATGTTTAAAGCAATATTATTAAAAGAGTTGTTGAAAAATTGAAAATCTATATTTTTCTTAAGTAAAATTTACAAAACAATTAATTTTTTTCATCATAAGTACGTGATTAACTTGAAATTAAATAAATTCAAAATTCTCGTATACTTTCAATTACGAGAACAAACCGTTTCCATCACGAATAATTTCCACTTTCATGTAAAAAAAATGTAACAAAAAACTAAAACATTTTGTCATCAAACTTACTCAAAAGATAGAGGAAACCATGCTATTGAAGTCAGTTTTTGGTTCATCCCGATATCTCGATCGGTTGCCGAGATATAAAGATTCAAAGTGTCCATAGCGCTTAAAAACGGTGCGGAAATTATGAATGGGCTCGCGAGTCAATGACCTATATATTTTTCTTGGAAATGCTTATTACGTTTTTCCAAGAATCGTGTCTGTCGCTTGTCTGGAGTTTGGAATAGGTCAGTGAGACGAGGCGCGAGCGAGAGGTCCGAATAAACGACAAGGACGGAGATGGTAAACGATTAAAAATTACCTTTTTCTTTACACGACGATATCTCGGAAACCGGAAGTCGTATCGAGATAAATCAAAAAGCATTTTAAAGGGGAAGATTCCACGATTCCAACGATCGTTCATTGATCGATAAAAAGTCATTATCTTCGGAGTTATAGCGGTTCAAAGTTTTCCTAATTTTAATCGAGTTTTAAGAAGAGTTACGCGATAAATACGTTTACTTCTCGTTACAATCTCACTAATGCTACGTTGAACATTCCGAATCGAGTGTCCCAAGTTTTTTGCTTTGTTAATAAATGTATCGGATTCTTAATTCTTCAATCGATTTCAAGCTTAATTAATCGAAAAGTTTTTTCCCTTTGAAAAAAAGATGTTCAAACCATAGTTCTCCTTTTCCATATACCGTTCTTTCTAAAAAGAACTTTCTAGCGTAAACAAGAACTCGGTCTCTGTCGAATGCCCCGTCTTTCTCCATT